GTAGTTAGTAGATTCTAGTCTGTGTTCTAGCTAGTGGGTTCTGGCCTGTGTTGTAGCTAGTAGATTCTAGTCTGTGTTGTAGCTAGTGGGTTCTAGTCTGTGTTCTAGCTAGTGGGTTCTGGCCTGTGTTCTAGCTAGTGGGTTCTAGTCTGTGTTGTAGTTAGTAGATTCTAGTCTGTGTTGTAGTTAGTAGATTCTACTCTGTGTTCTAGCTAGTGGGTTATAGTCTGTGTTCCAGCTAGTGGGTTCTGGCCTGTGTTGTAGTTAGTAGATTCTACACTATGTTCTAGCTAGTGGGTTCTAGTCTGTGTTCTAGCTAGTGGGTTCTGGCCTGTGTTGTAGTTAGTAGATTCTAGTCTGTGTTCTAGCTAGTGGGTTCTAGTCTGTGTTCTAGCTAGTGGGTTCTGGCTTGTGTTGTAGTTAGTAGATTCTACTCTGTGTTGTAGTTAGTAGGTTCTAGTCTGTGTTGTAGCTAGTAGGTTCTAGTCTGTGTTGTAGCTAGTAGGTTCTAGTCTGTGTTGCAGCTAGTAGGTTCTAGTCTGTGTTGTAGTTAGTAGGTTCCTGCCTGTGTTGTAACTAGTAGGTTCTAGTCTATGTTGTAGCTAGTAGGTTCTAGTCTGTGTTGTAGCTAGTAGGTTCTAGTCTGTGTTGTAGCTAGTAGGTTCTAGTCTGTGTTGTAGTTAGTAGGTTCCTGCCTGTGTTGTAGCTAGTAGGTTCTAGTCTGTGTTGTAGCTAGTAGGTTCTAGTCTGTGTTGTAGTTAGTAGGTTCTAGTCTGTGTTGTAGCTAGTAGGTTCTGGCCTGTGTTGTAGCTAGTAGGTTCTAATCTATGTTGTAGCTAGTAGGTTCTTGCCTGTGTTGTAGCTAGTAGGTTCTAATCTGTGTTGTAGCTAGTGGGTTCTGGCCTGTGTTGTAGCTAGTAGGTTCTAGTCTGTGTTGTAGCTAGTGGGTTCTAGTCTGCGTTCTAGCTAGTAGGTTCTAATCTATGTTGTAGTTAGTAGGTTCTAGTCTGTGTTCTAGCTAGTGGGTTCTGGCCTGTGTTGTAGTTAGTAGGTTCTAGCCTGTGTTGTAGCTAGTAGGTTCTAGTCTGCGTTCTAGCTAGTAGGACATTTCTCTGGTTTCAGTTATTTTTAATGAACTATACCTATCATTCCTACCGGTATATTCACTTTCTTTCTTCTACAATTACACACCACATATCTTGTTTTATGGAATTTAACTATTAGGGCAACACTCTTTGTTCTTTTTTTGCTAGAAAATAATGAATTTGACTTTCAGCCATTGTTTCCAAACTAACTGTGTGTGTGTTAGACACTCACTTGTCCAGGCCATGACTTGAACATACCTCGGGGGACATTTTATGGTTTCACTATAGAGCTGTAGTTCACATGATGTACAGGTTATTCTAACAGGTAACTTCGCTGGGAGATCTAAACCGAAAATGCTAACAATCAGACCGAGATCTGCTATTAAGATTCTTGCACTTTTAATTATGGTTCCAACACTGACGCAAATTCATGTTTCACCCTTCACTATTAGCCAACCACCATTCGTGAGAACTGGTTGGAGTAGTGGTGTATGTGATAGTGAAACTTAGCTGGCCTGAAACTTAGCTGACAACATAAACTAAACCCCTAACTCACATACTTCTAGTTGTATAGGCACATACCAGAACATACTAAGTTCTACAAAACCTCAAGATCTTTAGAAACAGACAAATTGCCGTTTTCTCCAAAATCATTGGCGAGATCTGTTCTGCGGTTAGATCATTTAACCTAGTGAATTTGACAGCATTCACTTGTTGTTTTCTTTCCTGAGCCTTTCGTTGATAATTTGGACTATTCTGTGAGCACTTGGACTGTTGTATAGGCACAGGAAAAGTGCCCAGATTGTCTACAGTTACAGCTCGTGTTTCTTATACCATTCAATGGATCTAGGTGCCTGCACATTTACATCATCAATGGAGGTGGAGGGGGAAGATGCTCTGGATACCTTGACTGCTCGATTGAGGGCCACTTGAACCAAGCCAAGTTACCATACTGTGTTTGCTTACATGGCGCCATATGTTTCAACATTCTATAATGTGTGACCGATTCATTCGAATGTGGTGTTTCTGGCAGAGAAGCTGCATCCACAACTGTAGATCTCTTTTGTCCCAGAAATTGAGTCAAAGTTACAATTTCATCCCACGTTGCAACAGAAATGCTTCATTTAGAGTCATGATATCTCTAATATCCAAGTGGTATTGGACGGACTCGCTAGGAACTCTTTACACTAACTTAAAGACCAAGATATCTTTGCGATCTGCTGTTGCCATGCTGGAATATGCTTTATTATGTTAGTGTATGCAGCTAATCTTTTGTAGGCACTACGTTTGCAAGCTGCCTGATAGATAACCCAATTCTCTAATGAGTCAAATCACTAATGCAACTCTGCTGTTATAGCCTGCTAGCTTTAGAGATACTCAGTCTCCATGTATGACAAAGCATCCAACACCAATCCACACAGAACTTAATAACAAACATCTGTTCTTTGGTCCACAAATTCCAGGCAGCTACTTCACTAATTCACTTAAGAAAGTGATATAAGTCTTTTTTTGAAGAAGAAGATTTAAAAGAAAGAGATGTGATGTGTTCCACCTTGATATTCCTGCCAATTGCAGCTATGGTAATCTTCCATTATGAATGTTATTCCATTAAAATTGCTGTAAAGCTGGGATAAGCATGGCTATTGGCTTCTTTCTAGAGGCTGGAGACCCTACATCTGGCTGCCAATTGGATTACTTCTTATGCTCAGTCGAGTAGGGCAGTACCATGACAATGATTTCTTTATCTGACGTTGTTCTATCACAAACATCAACGCTCCTCCCTTTGTAACAAAAACGTTCTGGCTTATCTGGGATATGTCACGTGCTAACCATGATGATAAACTACGTACTTGCCGTGTTTGTTCCATTGCCTCTGAGAAGCAAATAATAACAGGCTGTCAAGTCTGGTCTATCAACTGTAACTCGTCTCTAGCCACCTCCAGTGAGGAGCGTCAACTATACTAAGTGTTTCTTCAATTTCAGTTGGTCTGCTCGAGAAGGACCAGTTTGACCAGCACTGTCTGATGGGCCAGGGTGTGGTTCCGCTATCTCGTGGGTGGATGGAGAGTGAAATTCTGAAATGTTCGTCTTAGTAAAGGGAAGCACTCAACGTTCAACAAAGTGCTGCTTCAAGCTAGATGGGGATTCTCAGTTCTCATCTTCAGACCAATTTGATTCTCCTTCACTCAACTTTCAACAAAGTGCTGCTTCAAGCTAGATGGGGATTCTCAGTTCTCATCTTCAGACCAATCTGATTCTGCTTCACTCAACGTTCAACAAAGTGCTGCTTCAAGCTAGATGGGGATTCTCAGTTCTCATCTTCAGACCAATCTGATTCTCCTTCACTCAAATTTCAACAAAGTGCTGCTTCAAGCTAGATGGGGATTCTCAGTTCTCATCTTCAGACCAATCTGATTCTGCTTCACTCAACGTTCAACAAAGTGCTGCTTCAAGCTAGATGGGGATTCTCAGTTCTCATCTTCAGACCAATCTGATTCTTCTTCAGTGAGTTGTGGCCTGCAGAATAAAACAAGCATGAATTAAAATAATAATAATACATCTTATTTAGTAAGGCACGGAAAAAACTGGTGAACACGCAAAACTAAAAGAACAAGTAACAAAATGATGAGAGTGAGACGAAAACAATAAATGGTATTTGAATGTAACTCGCACGATCAACAGTTATATATACAATGCGACAAAAGATGGGACTTTCACTACACAAAACAATAGATAAATTCCTGGACAGGAAAAGCTAGAAAGAGTCATAACTCAGGTTGAATTTATCACGTGATTAGTGTTGTAGAATCAGAACTTAGTAAAATGTGAGATTTTTGTATATAATAAATATATACTATAAAATAGTAAGATATGTAGTATCTACATACTACAGTATGGCAGAAATAATTTTGTTTCTATACTTTTATAAAAGAGAAGCACCATTTCACAAAAAGCTTGGGGAAGGAAAAAAAAAGAATTGACCTTGCGTGGCTCCCCCCCCCCACACACACACACTCAATTCATCTGGGGGAGGGTCCTACGCTATGGCATAATTTGGTATTATGTGTTAATCCGGCCTGAATAGAAATGTCTCAAAGAACTGCCATTTTGTAGCCTCTTCCAAGTTTGATAGCGATGTTCGTCCCTATCGACCCCTCCCTTTTAGACAAACTTCCAAGGATGTAGCTAGGCCAGAGCGGACAATAACGAATGTTCGTATACTTTTTTATTAATAAAATATACTATGTATTTGTAAAATAAACTTAGCTTGTAGATTCAATGTTTTATAGTATTAAATTTGCATGTTTAAATGCTTTACTTTTAAAATTATAATCATTCTGTGATGGCATAAAAAATGAAAGTTATACACAAAAATAACTTTTATTATATGGATCTGCTATTTAAACTATAGGTTTCCTTTGTTATTGAGCTCAACGCTACAGTATTGGATATCTGTGCTGTGCCCATCACAGGTATTGAAGCTCGGGTTTTAGCGTAATGAGCCTTCAGACTCACTGCTAAGCCACTAGGGCAACTACAATTACTTTATCAATTGTAGTTTTATAAATCAAATATACCAGTTGGTTATACAAACATAATTGATAAGTGGCTTATGCTATAAACAAGTTCAAGGCCCAAAATGCTGCCTGTATGTGCTGCGTCTGTAAAATTCAAGGGTCAGAAATGTATTATGATTTAGTTGGCTCTCCGGCACAAAATGTTTTATACCTATTTATGAAATTATTTTGCGACATATGTTTTATATATAGAGAGAGAGAGAGAAAGAAAGAGAGTAACCAACAACAAGTAAAAACTTTTTTTTTTTTTAAATTAGAAGTATAATTTCACACTCTCTTTCTTTGTAAATAATTATGGCAACAGAGGGCGACCATTTCGTTGATTTGTATTTGTATTTTAGCGTGTTCCGGCCTTCAAGTGATGCAGAGAAAAGGCTGTGGAGCATCACGGGAAGGCCGGAACCACGCTACATATTTGGGCAGTGGTAGAATTTCTTTCACGAGACGAAAGTTGAAGATTGGGGTGAAAACCGTTAGAAAGCTAGGTATTTAGAATTTAATTTATAAAGATTCTTATATTGAAGTCAAAATTTACATACATATATTAAGTGTGTTGTTATAATACTTTCGTTTTTGTTAAAAGAAATACCATATTATTTTGAACATGAAGTTGATATAACGTTAAACTAACTATTGATAATATATATATAAGTTGTAACCGGTTCTGATTAAACTTCTTAAGTAGGCCTAGTCTAATGTTAGGCCGATATTTGGACTAGTCTAGCACTGTTTTTTCAAGTCCGTCCGCTGCGTATTTAGTGTGTTGTGATACTAATAGTTTAACTTCAATAAACGGTGAATTGTATAAACTGTTTCAGTTTGATTATTTTTTCACTGTCAGTGTAATGTAATTTGTAAAGTGGGTCACTGGGTGTGGTTTTGCCTCTTTGGGGCAGAATTAAGCTATAGTTGTAACGTATTATTGTACTTTTGTAGTCTGTGACAGACAGTATGGACAAAATTTATTTTAAGTTAAATTGCGCTTCAAGTTCTTGCCCATTGTTTATGAATAAATGTAATTTACGTTGTAGTTTGTATATAACATTGTAAATGCAACAAAAGTTTTATTAGTATTCCAGTATAGATTTGAAATGCAATCTTGATTTACCAGAAACATAAGTAAAGTTCTATTAACCCATTTCCAAGTACATATCTAAATACTTTCAAATTAAAAATTAAATTTATTTGAATACTTGATGACAAAGAACCCACTTTCAGACAATAAAATTTGAAGACAACTTGAGTGGGTAAGGAAGAACAATGTATTACATGGTAACTGAAGATGAAAAAACCTTGACATACTGTTGTACATTTGCTACTATTTTAAACTTGTAATGTTCTTCATTGCCCATTCAAACTGTACTAAAATACTGTAGTAACAGTAATAACATATGTTTTTCTGTGTATGTGTGTGATATAAATATGTTCAATAATGTCTTTATTGTTAATTCAGCTTGATTATTTCAGATGTTTAATATTATGTGCATTGGAACAAGCAAAGTGACAGGCCATTACCATACAGTTTTTGAGTTAGTCATGTCTCTACTATAGTTGTGTGGTTAATAGGTACTGTAGCTGTGATAACCTCTAGCAGGATTTAACTAGTTTCACATCATCCCTGTTAAGATGTTACTTTCTAAAACTGGGTTATCACCCCCAATTTGATTCTCTTATAACTATTTATCTCAAGAGTGATTCTGTAGTACCCTGACAGTTATTCCAGTAGTACAGTCACTCCTCTATTGCTCTAATGAAACTGAACACTGCATTATAAAACAAATGTTATTTATATATAAACACACACACTTAAAAGATGCATTTTGAAATGTATTGCACTTACAATGTTGCCCACCAATTTTGACTGTATACTTACAAAGATGGCAGACCCAAAGCAAGAATGGGTTTCTGTTCCAGTTAGAACTACAAGAAATTGGCTAAAGCTTAATAACAAACTGACTATATCATAAATAACATTTGTATTTTATTTAAATATATATATAAAAAAAAAAGAGTAGTGTGAAAGTAAGCTCACTTTAAATCTATTTTCTGTAAATGTTGTTTTAATTTATTACTGTCTTCTGTGTTTTATTGATGTATCCTAGTTACCTGCAGTAACAATTTATTTACAAATAAATCTGTGGATTCTTGTCCCCAGAAGCACATGGATAAATAATGTTCTACTGTAATAGTGTTACTCTGAACATAGAACTTCCATAAATAGCTCTTAAAAATTCTTACCGAATCTCTTCACCACGTCTAAGCATTTAGTGTCTAATAGTTATCTCGATGTGTATCTCCCATTTCTTGTTTTTTTATGTTTTCCCTTCACATAAAACACCTGAGCCTTTTATCTATAGCAGAGTCAGACTACTTGGTTAGGTATTGACAAAATAAGTCCCTTTTTGTCAGACTACTTGGTTAGGTATTGACAAAATAAGTCCCTTTTTGTCAGGCTACTTGGTTTGGTAGAATAACAGTCCCTTTTTGTCAGACTACTTGGTAAGGTATTGACAAAATAAGTCCCTTTTTGTCAGGCTACTTGGTTTGGTAGAATAACAGTCCCTTTTGATTGTAAGTACACTTATTGTAATAAACATCAGTATGCTCCAGGGAAGTATCATTTGTTTAATGTTTTGCTTTATATTTGTTGTTAATTTAAGTTCCTTTTTCATCCACTTTACGTAAATACTTTTACAATGTTGACCAACTTACTACAGACTTTCATCATAAAAATTCAAATTTTCTTTCTTAAGTGTAGATTTGACTTCTTCCAAAATAATATCAGAATTGTTTACACCCTGATGTTCCTGTTCATTACTAACCATGTTCTTGTTCCTTGAAACATATGCAGATAGTATCTTTCCTATTTTAAATAAGTTGAATAAGACAGAGTTCCTTGAGTATTTCTTTAGTTTTTGTATTTCCAGTAATATCTTTCATAGAAACCAGGCATGAACACTTTTTTTTTTTACAGACACAATAATAGCCATTTAGCACTTTTTTTCAGGTTTCAAAACCACTAGCAGTTAAAAAAACAAGTTTTATAAAAATAAAAACTTGTAGGCTTTTAAATGTTTCCTAATTTGACAGATTGACTTAATTTAATTTTGTGTACTTGACAAATGCTGTGGAACTAGAAAAGTAACATTCTAACTTGTATTCTTGTACTTCAGCTGATGTTCCTAACGAATCTCTATAATGGTCTGTATGATTAACATACATGCATGTTTGATAACAATAATATACTCCATCTGAATGACTTTGTGCTCTGTTTTTCCTTTAGTAATGTGACTGCTGTGGTACTTCCTTTGAAACTGTGTCCAATTATCAGACATGTATTTGAGGATTGGCAACATAAGTGGATGGATACCTAGGGTGGTATACTTGTGTCAGTAGGGGGCACAGTCTTCATTTCTGCCTTGGGTGCCAGTTAAGCTTATTACCAGCCCTCCAAATTATAAAACTGGTTTACATATTCTTTGTTAGTTGTAATTTCTGTTATGGTATAGGAACGTGAATCTCTTCAGGAAATTTTTATACATTAATATTTATTTCTATATGCATGAAATTAAGTCTTGGATGTATCCCATCCAGGGCCAACGTTACGTGTACATCTGTCTAGTACTGGTTATAGATTAAGTCTTGGATGTATCCCATCCAGGGCCAACGTTACATGTACGTCTGTCTAGTACTGGTTATAGATTAAGTCTTGGATGTATCACATCCAGGGCCAACGTTACGTGTACGTCTGTCTAGTACTGGTTATAGATTGAGTCTTGGATGTATCACATCCAGGGCCAACGTTACGTGTACGTCTGTCTAGTACTGGTTATAGATTAAGTCTTGGATGTATCACATCCAGGGCGACGTTACATGTACGTTTGTCTAGTACTGGTTATTCTGAGAATTGTTTACTTCTATACTTATTATTATTCCATTTTTATTTTCTATGTCTAGCTGTGACCCATAAAACACCCACTCTTACTTTACTAAACCTCAAAGAATGAGGTGGGAGGTAATAGTATGAGTCATTTTCCACACCCTTGCAAGATGACTATACAGTCTTGTGTGTAGATAAAGTTCCTATTTTGAACATATGTAACAAAATAACAACAAAAAACTATATGCACAAAGTTTATAAATAAAACTTAACTCTAACATTCATCAACTAATTTCAACAGAACCATGTCAGCTATCCAAACAGACCGTCAAGAAGAAGAAATGAAGCAAAAAGCCCAGAAAATGGCCACCCAAGCCACAACGTCAATAGAGAAGTTGCGATACCAATGTCTGCAGAGAGGAGCAAAGGGGATTAAAGAACTAGGAAGGTCAGGCTCAATCTGTTAAATATCCCTTTAAATTGTGTGATTATTGTGGTTATGCTATACTTGTTTGTATATTCTAGGATGTATGTGAAGACTTATTTTTTCTTTTTTTTTGTTCAAACAATTATGTGAAGTTTTTAATGTGTTTAACAAGTATATCACAGAATGTTTTAATTCTAAACATTTATAAGGATTAAGTACTGTTCAAAACTGTAATTTCATATGTAAATTATATCTGACTTAGGAAATATTTGTAAACAAATAATACTTTAAAAGAAAGTTTCAGCTTGTTAGAGAGAAGCGTGCTCCCTCTATCAGTTACCCTCCTTATAGTTTTCTCTCCTATTCTTCAGTCATTCCATGATCATTTTTTATTTTAGACAATTTCTATTGAAAATAACATATCTTTATTTATGAGCTAGAAAGATTTTGTTTCTGTGCTCTAGATAAATTGGAATTGTAAGTGATTCTTTTCTGGTATCTTGTAGTGCTTTATTGTATGTTTTATCATACTGCCTCTGTATTAGATAGTCAATGTTTCACAGTTTTCAGATTTTGTTTCTGTGCTGTAGATAAATTGGAATTGTAAGTGATTCTTTTCTGGTATCTTGTAGTGCTTTATTGTATGTTTCATCATACTGCCTCTGTATTAGATAGTCAATGTTTCACAGTTTTGTTTCTGTATCATAGTTATATGTCACACTAGATCACGCACTTCAGAAATGATTTTTATAGAGTTATATATATATATATATATATATATATATATATATATA